TTTGTTTTTTAATAACAAACTACTACAGGTAATTTTCTAGTTTATAAAAACCAAAATTTTCTCTTCCTATAATTATTCTACTCTATGAAAAACTGCTTATTAAAAAAAAGAAGCTATTGAAGTTTTAAAAGAATATATCATCTTATATTTTAAAACTTTTTTTTTTTATTTAGGAAAAAAAAAATTTTTTTTTTAGGTTTTTTTTTTTTTTAAAAAGGTATAGTTATTATAGAATGGGCACATTTTGTGTTATATTAAAAAAAATTCTCTAAAATATACTTTTTTTATATATATATAAGCAAAAAAATTAAAAAGTGTGGAATTTTTCATAAAAAAAAAAAAAAAAAAAAAAGAGTTCGAAAAGTAAATTTTTTTTATTAATATATCTTCTATTACTTTTTGTTATCTCACAGTGAATGAATTGTTTTAACATACTTTTTTAGGAAGAAGAGAACTACAAAAATTATCAAAAAAAGTGTAAAAAAGAGAGCTATTATATATTATTTTTTTAAATATTTTCTTACAAAAGAAGCATACACACAAAAGAAATGATAATGAAAAATAAAAAAAGCTACCAATATCATAGAAAACAAAAAAAAAAAAAGAATTACAATTTAATGGAATTTGACCAATATACTCTCTGATCAGATTGTAGTCCTTCAAGCCCAAAAAAAAAAAAGGACCATAATAAATAAAAGAGACAAATTTATAAATACAACTAGTTATTAATGATAAAATTGTGAAAAAAGTTGTAAAATTACAAATATATTCTCACAATGAGTATCTTTTTATTTAAAAAAAAACGCTAGCTTTCAAGTGTTAATCACTCTTCAACGGGCTTACTATAATATCGACTTTATCCCACCAGAAATATTTATAAAAACCTTTTTGTTTTTGTAAATATTTCTGGTGGGATAAAGTCAATATTTTATTAAGCCCGTTGAAGAGCGATTAACACTTGAAAGCTAGCGTTTTTTTTTAAATAAAAAGATACTCATTGTGAGAATATATTTGTAATTTTACAACTAGTTATGTTGAAATGTGATAACAATAAAAACTGACAAAAAAAGGGGGACCCAAGAAATAAGGAACAATTAGAATTTTTTATTATTTAAAAAGATATAGAATATATATAATACAACTTACTAAGTTATATATACTTTGTATTTCTATTTACATTTGAAGAAATTTTCCCACAAACATTTGTGTGGTGTGGGGGAATTTAAAAAAAAAAACAGTTTCACTAAAACTCTATATAGAAAGAAGAAGCCATAGATTTTTAGAAAAATAATAATTGAGGGGAAAAAAACTTCAACAAGAGTACTAAAAAAATAAAAGAACAACAATATTTTTGATTACCTATTTGAAAAAGCCTACTTGAATAAAAAATAAAGAAGAAGAAAAGAAAAATATGGTGTTTTTTTTCTTCTTTTTAACTAAAGGTTAAAGGTATTGAGGGAAATGTAACAACAGCAATAAGATTCTTGGATACAAAAAAAAAGGCAAATAATATAATAAGACTTATTATTTCTAGAAGAGTAATTATATTTACATAGTGTGTGGTTATATCTCTAATCTGTTTTCACACAGCATCTAGGTGGAAATTGTGGGGAAAATAAATGAACAAAAATAATAATAACAAATGTGAAGGATGTTGGCAAAAAGATGAAGAAGGGGAGGAAAAAGAGAATAGAGAAATATGGAGATAGAGGAGACCAACTATACAAATCTCTCTCTGCCACAGGTCTACAGTCCGTCCGCCTGCTCCTCGATGCCCAGGAGTGAGTCAAAGTCCAGGGGAGTGACTGGGACCTCCAGCTCCACTGATGGAGGGGGAGGTTGGATCAGGTCCGCCAGTTCATTGCCTGCCACATCGCCACAATCTGACTACACAACCTCATTCTTATATCCCCTTGTGTAAAGATTACACCAATTCCATGAGTTCATGCTCTTCAAGCTGTTTGATGATAAGCAGTGGCCTCTCCCAAAGGTCCTGTTTAGTGTATCTAATGCAAGCCAAAATGTGGAGCTGCAGGTGCCAAGTTACATTTTGGGAAAGTGGGGTAGATTTTGTTGTTATTTTCTATCTTCAATAGCTTGAGATGGCCTGTTCTAAATTTTGTTAGTGTTGTTTGGTGCTGTCTGAGGTTCAGAGCTCCTCCTGGGTCCACTCCACTGTACCAGCTGTGCTTAGGTGGGATCCTCCAGTTCTTATTTATTTTTGTTTTTGCTACTATCTCATTACATACATACACAACCTCACTATTGCCGAATCCAGTGCTGTAGCCTTACACTTTAGAGAAGGATGCAACTCTATTATGCTGATTGAAACCTCTAGTATCCCACCATTGGTGACATCAGCACATGTCTCAGTAACTATGTCCTCAAAAAGATCAAAAAAGGTGTTCTGGAGATGATGAAAGGAGGAAAACCCCAGCATGTTTCAAATTCTTGTTTAACACTCAGAGTGGATAAAGGTATTGATGGAGAGATGTAAGGGGAGAGACCCATAATGGACAATTAAGACAATACCATCAAAAGCAGTGGGAAGGATCACTGCCAGGCACCAGCCTAGGAGTGGGGGGCTAGATCAGTAGTTCTTATGAAACTCTTCAGCACATCATTTTTTCTTAAAAATGAATATAAACGGGGCATTGAGGCCAAGTCATAGAATAATCAGCCAGTATCAGAGTATTTAATGCAGACCCCCACCATCTCTACAATTCATAAAAGTGAAGAAAAAAAAAAAGAAAGAAAGAAAAAGCTACTTTATTTATTGTAACAACTCTGGTGCCAAAAAACTATCTAAACTGGTTACAATAAAAATGGAATATGTAACATTATCTTATTTACATATGGTATTTGTATTTCCATATCTCTCTATATTGGATGGTTTGACAATCTGAGGAGTTCCCTGAGGAAGGACATTTCATCTCCAGATGTCCAACAGTTTTGCTAAGACTAGGGCCAAGGTTTGTAGCATTTGTATTTGGGTTTCCTTTCACAATCCCTTGAATCAAAATATGGGAAAAAGACTTGGCCAGACAACACTCATGGGAGGTGAGATTACTCCCAGTGGCATCACAGGGCTGTCTGAACTACCATTGGTTTCAACCCAAAGTCCATTACATCAACCAGACCTCACCCAGTTATCTACAGGAATGTACAAGACAACTTTCATGGTCTGCAGAGATTTATATATAGTTTCCCTGCATTATACCATATAGATGCGAATTTTGCCGGGAGGATATTGATCTAAAGAGACAAGGGTCGCCTCTCCCGTCAAAATAGACGTCAAAACTAGACGCCATCTATTGACCGTCACCACAAACTAGCGGCCTGGTGTTGTGGCTTTGTCACCGACCAGAGGCCGCTAGTTTGCGGCGACAGTCAATAGATGGCGTCTAGTTTTGACATCTATTTTGACAGGAGAGGTGACCCTTGTCTCATTATACCATATAGTGGAATCTCAATATAGCAACAACCTTTTTTATACCACAAACCTGGTTATATCATATTTCTAATATCCCAATATTTTGTTATTAGGTTATAACAACCTAAAATTTTGGTCCCAAATTGTTTCTGTTTCTTATCCTCTTGTGTAAAGAGACTACACAAATTCTATGAGTCCCATGTTCCTCAAGCTTTTGATCCCAAGTGATGTTATTATAGCAAGGGGCGAGTATTTATAAACAAAATTAAAATGGCCATCCTAAGAGTGGGTTCCGTAGCGAGAGCAGCAACTTACCAACAATGACATTGTTCTTGGGAGAGACAGGGACTGCTGCCATGACAGATTTCTGAGTGTTAGGGACGCCTGGGTTCACCCTCAGGGAGTGGGGGGAGGCCACAGAGAGGGGAGGATCCACCTGGAACACCACAGTCACTGCTGACCACCACCCAATCAGCTTCTTTCTTATCTCATTACATACATACACAACCTCACTATTGCCGAATCCAGTACTGTAGCCTTACACTTTAGAGAAGGCTGCAACTCTATTATGCTGGTTGAAACTTCTAGTATCCCCCCATTGGTGACATTAGCACATGTCTCAGTAACTATGTCCTCAAAAAGATCACAAAAGGTGTTATGGAGACGAGTGAAAGGCATGTTTCAAATTCTTGTTTAACACTTAGAGTGGATAAAGGTATTGATGGAGAGATGTAGGGGACCTCATATCAAGGTATCAAGCTTGTAAAGCTTGAGACTTTTGATGGTGTCTGCTGGGGATGAGTAGAGTTCATCAATGGATGAGTCAATACAGTCAATAATGTGTCTCATACATAATACAGTCTTGCAATCCACAAGGCACTCATAGACAACATTTAAGGAAGTGGAAACTGATGTCGCCGGTTATCAATTTTTTTTTGTAGGAGACAGAGGCAATTTTGTTCACACTTGGTTATCTCGTGTATCTTCAATAAAGGTCACTGTAATATATTTCAGAGTTATTGTTTGAATCCAGATATACATGGTAAAAGGTACAACTTCCTTAAGTTTTGTCCATGAGTGTAAATATCAAACTAGAGCAGTATTTCTCAACCATTTTTTGGAAAAATACTTTCAACTTTATAAAATTTTTTTTTTTTTGCTTATTCCTAGTACAAGTGGTACAGACTATGATAATCATGGTGGGTAGTTAGCGACTGCTTTTTTGCACTCGCTGGTAGGGTTGGACTTTTGCAAGAATCGGGGGGCCATTGGAGCATTTTTTTTTTAATCAGAAAAAAGTGCCCAATGCGGGAATTGAACCCGGGTCGTACCGGTCAAAAACCAACGGTTTAGACCATCCTTCCACCGACCCTCACTTTATGAAATTACATGTGAAAGCACTTTACTAGTTCACAATACAATAAATTAATCTCCTTTATAAAATTAAGGTGAAAGCATCAGACATCCAGGGATATAAAAGTTTCTTTTTTTTTTAACTATAAAAAAAAAGGCACTGAAGAGATTTGAACTCACAATCTCTTGTTTACTAGACAGGTGTTTTAAATATGGTGCCATAGATTAGTTGGTTAAAGCACTCGTCTAATAAACAGAAGATTGCGAGTTCGAATCTTGCTGATGCCTTATTTTTTTTATTTAAAAAAATATTTATGATAAGGCACAATTTGGATTATAGATTATAAACACAAGGTAATAAGACCAAATCCAAATAAATAAAATGTTTTAAAAGCATGCTGTGATAAAATTTCTCATTCAGTACTTTTGTCTGAAGATGGTAACGATGCTGTTACCGAAACGTCACACACTATTTATTTATTTGGATTTGGTCTTATTACCTTGTGTTTATAAAAAAATATTTAATATACAAATCTCTAGCTTTCAAGCCTTTGAGTTAGAGAGAGCGCCCTATTGAATACTTTTTAAAAAAGAAATTTCTCTTTCGAAGCCTGATGTTTTCACCTTACACTTTATTCGGTATTAAAGAGAACAACTAAATATAAGTTATGATAAGTTACAATTTGGATCTCGTGGAAAACAGGACCTTTGGGAAAGGCCGCTGCTTATCATAAAACAGCTCAAGGAGCATGAACTCATGGATTTTGTATAATCTTTACACAAGGGGATAAGAAACAACAACAATTTGGATTATAGATTAGAACGCAAAGTATAATAAGAGACCAAATCCAAATAAACTTCATAAGTGAATTCTCACAAGGTAATAAGAATAAAGCATTTTATGCAAATAAACCTATTTAAGTACTCACATTCCTATTTATAAACAAAAATTTGATGGAATATCAAAAATAAACAGGAGGGGGGAGTTATATGATGGTGTCAACATATACTGACCTTAGTGATCTCACCTTAATAATTCTGCCATTTTCTTTCTGCTCACACATGCTGCAAAAATATTGTAAAAATCTCTTATACAAGTCATCTAGGAGTGGGCGGGCAACCACCCAAAATAGAGCTCAGACTGTCTTCTAAATATGGAGAATAGATGGAAACAAATCTGGAGTGGAAATGCATCAACAAAGGTAACTATGGGAACACAAAGGTAATAAGACCAAATCCAAATAAATAAATAAGTGTGTGAAGTTTCGGTAACAGAGTCGTACTGAAAGTACTTTTGTCTGAAGATGGTAACGACGCTGTTACCGAAACGTCACACACTCTTTATTTGGATTTGGTCTTATTACCTTGTGTTTATAATCTATAATCCAAATTGTGCCTTATTGTAATTATGGGAATTAATACATACACTCATGGACAAAGCCTAAGGAAGTTGTACCTTTTAGCATGTATATCAGGATTCAGACAATAACTCTGAAATATCTTACAGTGACCTTTATTAAAGACACACGAGATAACCAAGTGTGAACAAAATTGCCTCTGTCTCCTTTAATAAAAATATATATATAGGTGAACAGGCGCGACATCAAAGACTTTCTACTTCCTCAAGTTTTGTCTAGGAGTATATATTAGTTAGGGGTAGATTTAAAAAATAATAATAAATGTGTCCAGAATGTACTTACTGTAGATGTGAGGGCGCCTGTTGTTCCTTTTTCAGATTTCAGCATCTGTGGAAGTTGAGGAGGGAGGAAAGGAAAAAAAAAACACAATAGCTGAGATTAGAATTGGGATTTTCACACAACACAGAATGTACACAACAACAACAAAAAGCTTTATTAAGACCTTTTAGTCTTATACAGATTCTCCTTGTAGAAATGTAGGATACATTTTTTTTTTATTTGCTTATCCCTAGTACACATGGTACAGGCCATTATGATAATCATGGTGGGTAGAAGTAGGTGACTGCTTTTACTGTAAGTGCACCACATGTGAAATGTAGGATACATGCAGGAACAACACACAGAATTATAAGCTAGATAATAATAGAATGCCTCTTATACAGATACTCACACACAACCAGGAAACAAATATAAACACTAAGAAAATAGGCATCTCCTAATCTGGAAACTAAAAGTTTCTGATAGCTTGCACCATTTTAATTATTCCAAAATTGGCCAAATATCATTTCTTGATTAAACAAGAAAAGCTAACCACGTATGCATTTTGGGCTGTTGGCCTTCATCAGCGTGGTGCAAGCTGTACCTCAACAACCAAAAAAAGCTGGTCTTTGGGTCATCCTGAAAAAACTATGGAACGGATACTTAGGCCGAAAGAGCGTGAGAACATCAAACTATTTGAAAAATAGTACAACAGTGAAATTGTACTGGGATCTCGTGGATATATTAAGAGATGAATCTGGAGATGCCTTTACACAAGATAATAAGACCAAATCCAAATAAATAAATAGTGTGACGTTTCGGTAACAGCGTTGTTACCATCTTCAGACAAAAGTACTTTTGGTCTTATTACCTTGTGTTTATAATCTATAATCCAAATTGTGCATTATTAGGAGATGCCTTTTTTCTTCATTTATCCACCTGATCCCACCCAGTACAAACAATATCACTTTTGTACTATTTTTCACAGATATGACGGATACAACGCTGAAATTGAGCCTATATATCAACAACAAACATCTTATAATTACTCCCTTACACTAAGATGATGTCCTTTAGAGAGAGGTGCTCTATTGTATACAACCTATCCCCCGATTTACACGGTACTTGTTTTACACGTTTTCGCTTTTACACGGTTTTCCAAATAAGGTTTTTTTTTTTTTGTTTTTATCGCACTATACTAAATGCTACTGTGATTGAACACATGCGCTGTGTACACATCTCACAAGGAATCCCGAGCTTATGTGCTGACTACATATTTTAACCTGTCAATGCATTTTATTTTTATTTCTGTGTACACCTATCCCCCGATTTACATGTTTTTCTCAGGAACGTATCTACCGTGTAAATCGGGGAATAGGTGTACAACCTGCTATCTATATTATCCGGTGAGGAACCTTGGTGGAATCAAGAATTGAATTGACTAACTCTCCCATAGTACCTCCCTACTATAATGGGGCGCTATCACAAAAGGAGTTCTACTGTATTAATGAGTATCACATTCGCGACAAGATTTATATCACAACGCACAAAGACATCTCCTGAGAAGACAATTGAATTCTGTAAAATGGTCATCTAGACTAGGAAATCAACATCAGTGTGCCACTGCACATTGGTTACTTCTAGTTTTTCACCCAGTCTCAAGCCTGGGTGAAAAACTAGAAATAACAAGCTAGCATAATAAAAAAAAGTATGGGCATAGTACCCTGTAAATGCTCCAAGGAAACACAAAAACAAAAGTATTAGACTTTTCTCAACAATTAGGCTATCATTTCCACAGACTTGACACTTTAATATAATTGATTGGTGCCAGTCTCAATCAAGCCTGGATGAGAAGTAACAAGCTAGACAAATTAAAAAAAAAAAAAGAAAGCATGGGCTAAAGCTGGCATAGTGGAGAAGCTAAGCAAGAATATGAGATGGCATTGGCCACAGAGCCTAACAGAATAATCAGAAATCATCAGATGATTACAAAGCTGAATGACTTTTACCTTGAAAATCTCCTCAATCTCCTTCTCAATCTGGGAGTCTTTGATCTGGTCCTGGAGCCAGTGGAGCTCTGTGTCAGTGCCCTCCACGTGGGTCTCAAAGTTGTTCCTGGCACCACACACACACACAACGTTAGTATCACAGTAGACTTAGATTAATAGCAGAATCAATGTGTGAGCAACATACAGCAAGGTACTGTTTATAGGATCATATAGATAAGACTCACCAGGGGTAGACAAGATAGAATTCAGCGTCTTATAATTGGCTAGAAGTACACCAATACCTCGCTTTGCGTCATTTCGTTTTGCATTTTTTTCGAAGTTGCGTCGCTGCTTAATTTTTACTGATTTTCACTGTGCGTCGTTAGATTTTCGAAGTTGCGTTGTTTTGGATTCGAGTCTTTAAATTTTTTTTTTTTTCCCTAAAATATGGCAACACCTTTGTTTTTGATTGCGCCTTCACATATTTTCACTTTGCGCTGTTTCAATTTGCGTCGTGTTTTTTTGGAACGTAACCCAGACGCAAAGCGAGGTATGGGTGTAATACTTCTAGGTCTCCGTGTTGAAGGGCATGTTAGCCCAAAAGCTCGAGAAATTAAAAATTGTAAAAAGAAACCTAGCCTTATTGATTTTGTCAAAGATAGAATCTAAATATTTCACCAGACTAAGGTGAAAACATCATGCTTACAGGGGTAGGTTTATTTTTAAAAAATTTAAATCATATTTCCACAGAATGATTATTTTTTAATACTCTGTTGTTTATCATCATAAATATTTACATAGTCATCACCCCCTTACCATACTTGTAAATTACCAGTTAAAAAATCAAATTGACACATTTTGCAATATATAAGTTTAATTAATAAATTATTTTTAATTAAGCTTTTGGAATACTTGTCTTCGCTACCGTGACAATATTAAAAAAAAAAAAACTTCTCCCTGATGTTTTCACCTTAAAATTTTGATACAAGGGATTAGTTTATTGAATACTAGACAATATATACTCATTCTACAGAAGGATTTAAAAAGTCTTAAACCATAGTTTTCTTTTAAGGTAACAAGACACAAAATCCAAATTAATTAAATGTTTGTAACATTTAGGTAACAACATTGTGTTACCACCCTCAGACAAAAGTACTGAATGGAAACAAGACCAATTTCAATGATAAAGCACAATTTGGATTATAGTTTATAATACAAGAAAATAAGACCTAATCCAAATAATTTATTAGTGTGTGACGTTTCGGCAACAGCATTGTCACTATCATCAGACAAAAGAATTAAATCTTTTTATTCTTTTGTCTGATGATGGTGACAATGCTGTTGCCGAAACGTCACACACTAATAAATTATTTGGATTAGGTCTTATTTTCTTGTATTAAGACCAATTTCAAATTAATAAATTGTGTGTCATCCTCAGACAAAAGTATACTGGATATGAAATATACATATCACAACATGGTTTGAAAGAGTTGGTATTGTTATCAGTGTGTTGTGTGAACAAGTGTAAACTTGCTACAGTATTTGTTCTCAGTCAGTTAGGTTTAGTAAACATAAGAATGATTTGCACAAAGCACTTGCCAACACATAGATGTAAGGGGACATG